AACAAATATTGGAACAAAGACCATTTGTGTTTCTGATGCCCCATAGCCTATTGAAGCAAGCATTGATTTGGAATTGGAAGGCTGTGAAGATACAGGAGTCATGATTTATTGCAACACCTTGTTTCAGAACTAGCACTGGTCGATCGGCAACATTTTTCCAATTCTGCCTGTGTGGCATATGCGAGGAATCCACATTTCTGGGATGGAAGAATAAAAATAACTCTTTGTGACCAATAAAGACGACAAAGAGCAAAAAAAAATGGTTCTTATCATGTCTGGCCTCTAATCTGGAACTGACCTAAAGCTCACTCCCAGTGTGAGGGCACCACAGTGAGTGCTTGCAGTTGTTGAGAAAGTTACAGACCCGGCCTGCAGTCCTGTGTTCAGACGCCCTGTAATTATCCCTAAAGGTAGCAGACAGAGCACAGCGGGCAGAGTCGAGCCATGCTTATCCAGACGGGCACCTACCCACCAGAGACCAGCTCGCCAGGTGGGCAGGACCTGGCAGACGGTGTGGCACATGGGACTCATTAAAGCTCACTTGGATGTCTGAGTCAAGTTTAACAGATAACAATCAGGCCTTTTAAAAAAAAAACCCCAAACAAAGCAAAACAAAAATTCCTCTTGGTCAGAATCGCTTTGATGTGCAGGTTCAGTTCCAAATTCAGCAATGCCTGTGAGGGCGGCCTGCCCTACTTGGAAATCTGCTGTCACAGGAAATTATCTTCACCGGTACAGAAATACAAAACACGGTAGTATTTGTAGAGCGCTGTTGAATCTCTCTGGACACAACAGCACTGTCACTTGGGTTAACGGTGGGAAACAGGCAAGGATCCAGGTGGTTGGTGTGATGGCTACACACTTACGCACAAATGTGTATCTAATAAAGCCTATGGTACATATGAACATCTAGGTATTTGTCATGGGTTGTTACTCGATAAGTGGTAGGTGGCACAACAGCGAGTCTGCTATTAACTAACCCTAAAAAATAATAATAATTGCTTACACTTATATAGCACTTTTCTGTACACTCCATTCAAAGTGCTTTACAGGTAATGGGGACTTTCCTCCACCACCACCAATCTGTAGCCCCAGTTAGATGATGCGATGGCAGCCATAGTGCACCAGAACGCTCACCACACATCAGCTATCAGTGGGAAGGAGAGCAGAGTAATGAAGCCAATTCATAGATGGGGATTATTAAGAGGCCATGATTGGTAAAGGCCAATAGGAAATTTGGCCAGGACACCGGGGTTACACCCCTACTCTTCTCAAGGAACACCCTGGGATTTTATAAAGACCACTGAGAGTCAGGACGGAGGCTTTTTAAAATATAGTGTCCCCGTCACTATACTGGGGCATTAGGACTCACACAGATCACAGGGTGAGCGGCCCCTACTAGTCCCACTAACACCTCTTCCAGCAGCAGCCTAAGCTTTCCCAGGAGGTCTCCCATCCAGGTACTGGCCAGGCTCACACCTGCTGAGCTTCAGTGGGTTGCCAATTGTGAGTTGCAGGGTGATATGGCTGCTAGCTTAAATAAGAGCAATAAAAGGGGTTTGAACCTGAGGGACACAGCCCTGGGACTTACTGGGGCAATTCCAGATGAATTATGGAAACGTGGGAACCTATTCTGAATATGTTGCATTCTTATTTAAAAACCAAAATGAATCATCCACATTACTTTCAATTCCTTTTAAATAAATGAACTGAGGAAAAACCATACACTTCACATAAAGCACATAAAAGCAGTTTTGGAATTAAAAATAAAAACCAAAACATGTTAACTGCTGTTTAGAAATCCAGCCATCTTCAAAGCACACCTTGTAATTCCTTTGATACTCAAACTGGAGGTCGATACAAAACCATGCTCCTATTAGGAACTCTTCGCTGCATGGTCTGTTTATTTAATTAAACATGGAGTTCTGAGAAAAAAAAATTAAGGAAGGTAATCAAAACAAACATTTGTTAACATGTTGCAGAGAAAGTGTCTGGACAAAACAATCCATCTAAGATGTTATTCCCCTTGAATGTTGACCCAGGGGGGCCTTTTTAAGTGTTCTGCAAGAGGTAGAGAATTATTTGCTGCTTAAATTGACCTTTGTTTCTGCAACTCACTTGTCTCTTGATACAGCACTCTGACTCTAAAATTATCGCGACTAAAATGCTACCAGGAGCTGATGTAAAAATAACATCACTAACAGGGCTCTCAAGCGCTGTGCAACAAGCATCTTGCCTACCCATCAGTGAGAGTTTGGCATGGCCGAGGTGAGTTTGACTCGACAGCAATCTTATTTATGACACGTTGACTCCAGGGACAGCCAGAGAAGGACATATCCCTGAAGATGACATACTGTGAAGTGCACCTCACTCCCCACTTTAATTAATAACAGTAAACACAGGCACTCTAATGTGGGAAGATGAGTGAGAATGGAGGAGATGCGAACACAGACAGTGGTCTGAAAGCCAATAAGAGACGGGCCAAGCTTAACAGCCATCCTAGATGTTCTTTGAACTCCTTGTATTGTTTTTGCAGCGGGTTTTTCCTCCTCCTTTTTAAATATTGAACAATATTATACTACTGTGTCTGGATTCTCCAATTTCTCGTACAAATCTCTGCCTCAGGGTTACTAAATAATTGCCTTGATTTCACTGACAGAGAGCCAATCAACTTTCTATTCTCTCCCCTTTGCTATTGCTATGTCTGCTGGCTTCAGGCCCTAACGTGTCTTTCTAATCGCTTCAAGAATCTTGCTTGCAGATCACATGAAAGGCATGAAATACTGTTTTAACCCCTGATCCGCCAAACTGGTAGACATGAAGGTGTCTGTTTCAGTACCATAATCATGTGGACTTTTCCTCAGTGCACTCAGAATACACCAGAAATGGGGGGAAATTGCAGGCAAAAAGAGGCAAGTTTAAATGACTAACCCCACTTACGTTTTAGTTTTGTTGGAACTAATTCAGCATCTGGTGGAGAGTCTATAGAGAGATCCACAGATAAAAAGAACCAAGACACCTTCTGCCTTTATGCATGTTTTTGAGTAATGTATCACCATTTTCCATTCTGAACTTTTATTTTGCTTTGAAGAGAAACCTATAACAGCAATATCCTGCTAAGGTGGATGCTGCACACTGCTGGTGGTGGAGGGGAGTCCCCATTACCTGTAATACACACATAGTGAATTCTGGAAATTAAACATCAGACTTCTTGCATGAATAACACTGGTTTATGAATTGAAATCAACACAAGAAGACAAATAGCAGTAATGCCCCTGACAGCTAAAATAGAATATTTTTTGTTTTGTGATAAATATTAACCATCACTGTCTATCTGAGATCCAAATATTTTTGCAATATTTCAGCTCCTGTGGTTGAGGCAAAGCTTAATGACTACAAAGCTACACTCCTTCACTGGAGCCTAGGTTATGTATGGACAGCCAAAATAAAAGTCATGTAACTTCAGCTGTCCCATTACTGCTTCTAATTCTTCTCCTGCCCAGTGCAACAGGTTCAATTATATGACCTTTAAGAAGTATACAGTTTTTGTTCACATTGCCTAAAGTGCCTGACACTTTGTTCTCCCACACTTTCAATATTGCCTTTCCCCCTCCTCCTGTCCTGGAAAAATACATGTAGCTCTGATAGCCATGGTAAGCAGTCCTACAGATGTTCTCTATTTTGTATTTTAGTGTGACCAGAGCCAAATACAATACATTATAGCAGGTGCAATCTAACCAGAAAATTGTTTAGCACTGTCACAGCTGTCTGAGATTAGCATGCTTTTTCACAAGTCCTACATGGAAACCGTATGTTTATGTAGAAGATAAATGTGGAGGAGCTTTAGCCTATAAAAACATTCAGTAAAAGATGGACAGCCAGGAAGGAAGCTCTGAGGACCTGTCTGTTCTTGGCTTCCCTTGCTAGAGAGATTGATCCAATCATACTCAAAAGACAGGGCACTATTTAATTAACTCGATTCAATTCAATTCCGTTTTACTTTTCCAAAGGGAAAGCTCTCGAGATTATATAATCTCATTCATAACAAGGCTTTCTCTAGAACATAGGAGCAGCAGCAACATTCAAACGCTTCATGTGTAAAAAGGAATCACAAGCACAAACTGTTATCATTTCCTGGGAATCAAGTCAGCCCCCGTTCAGTTAAGAGGCAATAACAGTATAAGGAGAAATAAACATAAAAATAAATTTGTTTGCCAAGCAATCTTGGTGGTAAAATAAAAGTTAACAGCCTTTAGCATCTTAGAAGTGCATTCCTTGATACAGATGGAGGTTTTCTATAATTTCTGTGCAGCACTATAATTAAATCCGACACACGTCTATATATCTTAAACAATTTTTGTTAAACACTCAGTAATAACTATAAACAGTAAATCTGCATTCCCCTCATTTGTGCTGTATTCCTCTTAGCAGAAAACTCATTCACAAGCAGAAGCACCTGTACAGAGAGTCATTCAATGATAAAAACTGCAAATATTCTCACAGAGAAGACACAGCATCTCGTTCCACAAAGTAACAGCCAATCAAGCATAAAAAACTTGATAGAATATGCATGAGTGGAGGGCACCTTGGTGTGCTCTCCTTCACAGTCTCTCTCTCACCCTCCCCTCCATGATAATGTCAGAGCAGAGGGTTTCATCAGAAACATGAGAGAAATGTCTGCTAACATTACAGTTCTCAGCACAGAGAACTCTGGGATCAATCACACTCTGCCCTTCTAAGAATTGAGTAAACACTTACTGTATGAATTTCTTTTAAAGCCACAGATAAGAAGACCACGTTGGACAATTGGGATTGTAACTGTATTTATATGCTCTTCAGCTCTGCCCAACTGTTTTCTTCAGTATGAAGAATATTCCACTGACAAACAGCCTGTAAAAACACAGGCTTTAAAGGCATGTTTCTAAAATAAGTCCTTATAAAGAAAGAAAACTATCCAGACCATGTTCAACTGAGACAGGAAAATAATTTTTCTGTTTCAGAATTGGATTGAAGTCAACCAAACTGATACTTCTAATGGAACAACAGAAAAGCCACTGGAGAGAAGAGGCTATTCAGCTTCATGAGGCCCATCAGATACTCTACCACTGGCAGAGGGAAGAAGGACAAAATCCCTTTTAAACTCCTCAGGGCAGGGAGCTAATTAACCTTCACCTGTATGTCCTCTGGAGGAGTGAAAAAAACAGCAGCTCGCAAAACCCCCCCGGCACCCTGAACATGCACACTCCACACAAACAGCTGCTCCACCTCAGAAGTGAACCCAGGACTAAGGAGCTGTGATAGTCATAGTCAACATCAGGCCATCAGGTTACCTCAGGGCTTGCCTCAAATTTCTGCTTTCGTTTCGCATGAAAATAGAAGGGTACACGAATTGTAAGGTTTGGTGTTATCTTAGGTAGTAAGAGTTTTGTGATCGCTACAAATTTAGCTCCATACCTTGGTACATATATGTGTATATAGCAATTAGTACACAACGTATGTATAAGGGTATATCAAAAGCAAATTATTTCATCACTATCAATTCCCTACATTTTTACTTACAATGGGTTATGTGTTAAACTATACAATTCCATATCTAAAATCACACCACTCTTTGGAAAGAGATTCATTAATAAAAATTCATTAAATTCAAAAAGGACAATTTTACAGATTCAAAAGGCATAAAGAAACAGCACTTACCTCTCTTTGTACATACGTTAGGAGATTCTTCATCAGTGTGGTCTGGTCTCAGACCTGATACCTGTTTTGTAGAATGTGTGAAATCAAATGAAGTTGATTTTAACAGCCTTTAATTTTTTTTACCACTGGCAACTAGAAATAAGGTTGGGATATACTTTCTTATGCATCATGCTATGTTCTACAATATAGTCACCTTTCTATAGTAACCAGCCATCACGATTTAGCTGTTGATTCCTCATTAAGATCACAGTAGCATCCCTGAAGAACAGGGTGCAAGGCAGGACTATGGACAGGACAGAGTGAGTGCCTACGCACACACAGGGGGAGTTTAGAAACATCCATCGGCCCAAACCCGAATGCCTTTGGGAGACAGTGGAGGTAGGGGAGCATGCAAACAAAACAATGCACCCCAGGCATGTACAAACCCAGAATCTAGAACTGTCAGACAGGAGCGCTGACATCTAAGCCCCCACCCGTGGGATCTGTCACTCAGCAAAACCCGTAGATGTGTGTATTTTACCTGTATATGTAACTGTAAAGCTATATATAACTGTATATGTACCTGCATTGACAGTATATCTACTGTATATAGAACTGTAACTTTTATTTTGTAATTTAAGCTAAATACATATAACTGTATATGTACATGTAGAAATAACCATATTTGTCTGTAGAGAACCAGAGGCTGATGACAAAGAACTGGGTAGAGATATACCTTGTTACAGGCTGGTTCAACATAGTGCTCTCAGTTATTCGTCTTTCTGAAGTGCAGGGAGAAAATCTGACATTTTTTATTAGAAGGAATTTCAAGCTTCATATTTGGAGATGTCATGGCAGTTGAGGACTAATCTCCCTACGGCTTGAAATATGTTAATTACATTGTATTACCCATGAAGAGCTGCTGGACGTTGAATAATTTACTGGAATTTATTATTCAATCAAACTGAACCAGAATAAGAAGATAATGTGCTGTTTTTTAAAAGACACTTCTAAAACCATTTGTGTTTCACTGTAGACAGGAACTGGTTAGGGGCTACAATGTTTTCTTAATAGGGATAAAATAAACATCTCCACAGAATTTAAAAAAGTGAAAAACGTTTCCTAACACTTTAGATTTTGTCAGCCCATGACTGGATTTCTTATATTTAGGATTCCAAAGCATCAGGTTGTCATTTTGCAGGTGTGAAAATAAGTAGCAGGAAAGGGCTGTTTATTCTAGAAAGCAGTCATGGAAAGAAGATTCAGACATACTAAAGACTGTACAGCTGAAGGCAAGAAGCTGTTGTTTACAAGCTAATATTCTGTCTCTTTGGAAAGAATACTCCTAGTCTTCTTTTACCCAGATCAGATACTCTAATGCGGTCTTGAAGCCCTGCTCAAAAGATAGGGTGAGTTATGATAAAAAAAATCCTATCTCTGCCACAAGCAGGGAATTATCTATGACTGAGGCACCAGCAACCCACGTCTATTGACCTTGTTCTCTTGCTTGGTCCCTGTCCAAAGTGGCTGTGTGAAATAGGAAAAATGTTCATTTGCAACAGACGTCGCAGCAAAGTGGAAAGCTTTTCACTGCTAAATTTCACATTCGTGGTACAGATCTGTTTTGAGGCTCTCCTTTGACTGGCACATGGTATATGGGACAGGCTGTGCGCCTGTTTTTCGACAGGGCTGAAAGGCAGGGCTCCAGGAAACTCAGATGCGTCTCAGCACTTTCGAGTTGTGACATAATAAGAGGAGGTGGGGAGTCAGGTGACAGGCCTTGTAATTATCTCCATGTGGCCAGACACAGCGTCTTCTGGGGAACATCTGAAACCTTTCATCTAATTGGCTTCTTGCCATCATGTGACATTCTTGAGCGTGCCAGGCACTTTCAATCCCAGACAGACACCGCAGAGCCAAGAGAACAGCAGAGGCATGCCCATCTTTGTTCTCTGTCCTATGGACAAACTTACCTCAGGGTGTGGCAAACAAGGCACAATCGCAGCACCTCCCTGAATGCAAATCTCTTCAGCTCGGCCCAGAAGAAACAGCCGTAGCCTCTCAGACAATCACAGTTTAGATTTTTACAGAGGTCTGGGCATCAAATGAGCAAGCTTTAAAGGTTTATTTAAAGCTTCTTGAGTTTGAAGCGCAACAGGGAGACAAAACTTTGAATGCACAATTGGTGTTGTTGCTGCTCTTGTTTTCCAATTGAGAAACAGTAATGTACAAAAAGAAGGCATAATTTTGCCACAGGCAAACATTCTCTTACGTTGCCAACAAAAACAAGCACTGCATACCCTCAGGTTAAAAACCTAGACACCAGAATGACTTGAACTCTGAGGTGCCTTAGCTTTCCAAAGTCAAATCATGGATTTATAGTCCTTTAAGGTAGGTGGAATTTACTGTGCATTTAGGTAAATGTAGAGACTCGCTAGAAAACGAATGCAGTGTCCCCAATTACAATAATCTTCAGCTGTCGTGCTAACCCGTCCTGCAGTGTTTAGCAAAGTTGTAATTGACTGTACTGAGGGAAAACGTACACACAAATACATTAGTAAAAGGGACATCTTGGATTTAAAGGTAGTCAAATCAATCTTTGTTCACAGCACAGAGATAGGTTTTTTCCCCATTGCTTTCTAAATGCATCTCACCAGCAAGTTTTTCCTGAGAGGCCAGTGCTGTCTGTGGAAGGCCTTATCCATTCAGTAAGCAACAGGCACTGAGCGGAAGATAATTCTTTTCTCTTCTATTAATGACACGGCATATGTCACAGAGACTGATGCAGAAATTGATGCAGAGGTGCAGGCCACTTCTGTGCATCATTTCACATCTTGAGTCATTACCAGACAAATCACCATCATTATCTGCAAATCCGTGGGCCCTGCTAACTTAGGAGTTCCATTTTCTGCAGCACTGCGGGCCAAATTGAGATGTAATGTGTTTGTGAAAGCTGCCTTTATCAAATTCTGCATTACTTAAATATTCAAAACAGAAAAAGGCTGCCAATGCAACCCTTCAGACAGAATGATGAATGAATTGGAAGCCAGAGCACTTACATGCCACCTATTCCATTCCCATCTTTTTGTTTAGCCCCTCTGAAATGTAGTTTAAGGTTTTGCAAGGTCAAGAAAAAAAAATACAATATGCAGCATTGATCTCTATAGAGCTTTAGCACATCCAGTTATTTCAGGATTATCTAAAACTCAAATGCTCCCAAAACCAGTAACAAAAGAAAATGATGACAGGTAACTTTACACCTTTTTATTATAAATATTGCGTAAAAGGACAGGCGCTTCACATAGCAGTGGAAAGGATGGCTGTAAGAAAGAAAAGGGCCATAGACTAAACTAATCCCTGTCAGTTTAAACAATGGATAAAGCCTGTCACAGGGTTTATATGTCTCCTTATCTATGTCTTTCATTCCTTATCTTGCTGCTGAACCTTCGACCGGTCACTGCTCTTTCTTCAGTCATTTGGACCCTGATGATTTCAGATGCGAGCAGTAGTAAAGCAATGCTAATGTTTAGCATTGCTTTCTCCCAGTTCTGGGGTCCAGGGTTTCGATTGCGAACCGAGAGACCTTGAATGTGGAGGCTTTCTCCTGGCATTCAAAGACAAGCTGGCCAGGTTACGTTGTTGCAGTGTCCCTGAGCATATTGGTATGTCCTACACAGGACTGGCAGCCCAGGCAGGGAGTCGTCCGGCCTCGTGACCACAGCTTCCAGGATAGACTCTGCGCTGCCACGGACTTGACCATGAAAGAGCGACTTTTCCGAACACCGATGAATGTCAAACACACAGCCCTGTAGGACTGTTCAAGAACTGGCCATACCTGTGGTGTGCGTTTCATGGTATATGCTTTCATACCACAGCACAGCATATGCGCAAATACCACCTCGTGCATTTGGCAGATAGTTACAAACCTCAGGAAAACGGTACCTGCCTGTAGGCAAAAAAACAGCAGAAAAAAACAAACAAACCACAGAACTAAACCAAACCAACCATGTTTTATAATACATGATTCACATGAAATATTCCTAAGACTTCCTGCATTGGTTTTAGACATCTACACTTACATACAGACAAACACGGCACAGATGCATTAGTAGAGAGGTATTTTTAAAGAATGCATGTTTTTTTTTTCCAGTTGGACAGCACCCAAACCACTCTGCCTGCCAACCAGCGCAAGCAGCCTCTGAATTCCTTGCATCTTCCGTGAGGGCGCTGAGCGGAGTCATCTGAGGCCGCAGGACCGAACCCGTGACCTCGCAGCCTCCCCACACCCCCCACGCCGTCAGCGCTAACCACCCCCTTACTATTCTGTAAACAAAGGGAGCAGGGGAAGGGGGTCAGATGAATGACTTTCCCAGAGTCAGCAGATGAGGGCTGGAGCACGAGCGGAGATCTGGTTGCTCCGCTGCAGCCCCCTGGCACGGGAGCCAGGCAGATCTCGATTACTGGAGCGGCCCTCGCGTTTCATTCCGGTTGGCGTCGCGTCTCCTAGCCTCAGCTCTGCAATTCCCATCCCAAAGACCTCCTCCCGCAAAACCTTGCCACACACATACAGTACAATACACCCACCCCCACCCACCCAGCCCACCCGCCCCCGCCTTTCTCGATTTAATCATGAAAAAGGGAAAAGTTGTGAAAGTTACACCCCAGACTCCAGGGCGCCAGGGCAGTAAGACAGAGAGAATGAATAACACAAGCGGAGAGTCAAGAAGGAATGGAGATGAGGAGGAGGGACGAGAGAGCAGCCATGATCTCCATCCTTTTTTCCCTTAGGAAGCGCAGAAAGGCACGGACTACCAGGACGCACTGCGGAACTCTCTGTGCTGGACATCCGATTCCTAATGACGGGAGTATTATAACAATTCTAATAAGGGAAGGAGAGGCCTTCAGGGCAGCACGTCCGCTTCCACACAGTTAAATGGCGACGTGTATCGGCTTTGGAAGGGCTGGTGGGCACCTCTGGAAATCGACCCTGGTGGAAACTCGAATATCTGCACGGCCTGAGCCGAGAGAATGATGGAATAAAGCCGATGAAGGCAATGGGAAAGGCAGGGAATATTAAACTGAGTAAAGTGAGGTGGGGGAGGGGGATAGACTGAGAAACAGATTGTAATTAAGAGCAATATCTACTGCATCATAGATGTGACATCTCTATATTCAGTGTCATAGCATTTTTACATTTAATGAAAAGGCAGCACTGCAGCCTGGATTCTCTAAAAGATGGAGAAGGAGAATATGACTAGGCGACAGTTTACTTTACATTATGCCATTCTCAATCTGCATGTGTGCTTCAGCTGTTTATACTGCACACCTGTCGTTTCTTTGGGATCTCAACATATTTCGAAAAGAGACGCCAATCCCCCCCTAGCCACGAATGATAAAATCAATCAAACCCTTTAACTGCGTCCATTTGTTAAATGGCAAGCATGTACTAAAGGTATGTAATAAACACTCACTTTGTTCACCAACTAAAAGATTATCGGCCTCCATTAGTGGAAAGAAAATATTGCAGCAGATTTTGTGCTGAGGTATATGGGTGATCCAAAGAAAGTTCAGTACGCCTGCAGAGAATTAAGTAAACCCTGTGGAGTGGAGTGGCGACGGTCTTATCTTTCTTGTACCATAACCTCCAGAAATCTTCTGGTCGTCTCTCCTCTAGCTCCAGCCCGCAGCGCCGGCGCTGACGGCACATGTGCTAATGATCAGATGTTCCAGACCTCCGGCATCAGTTTCCCAGCACCCCCTGCTGAAGAGCAGAGCTCAGTCTGCAGCCAGCAGCCCCTGTGTTCCCACCATCTGGAGCTCACCTGAGGAACTTCACAGCTACTCAAGCTGTTGTTACATCAGCCGCCTCCCCAAACGCTTTAATTAGCTGCAGCAGATCACACTCTAAACCAAGAGATTTACTCGTATAACATGAATAAAGCTAGGGGCATACAATTCAGTTTATATCCCACAAACACAAATGCATAAAACTGTACAGAAGCAAAACAATGTTTACCCAGCTTGACCGAACAAAGATTCCTACAAGTTTATATGAAAACCAAAAGTGTTGCTATCTGTTGAAAAGTTAAATATCAATTTGAAGCTCTTATTAAAAAAAAAGTCCACATTAAACGTCAAATTGTATACTCTGTTAATCCATTTGCCTGAACTCTGGAAAAAGAAAGAGCTTTAAAAATGTCACAGAGTGCTCTATATTACTGGTTACAATAGCCTGGTCTGTTATTAGGCCTGAGCACACCCTGTATTGAAATCTGTTTAAAGAACAGCAGCATGGTCTTCTCTTTGTTTGCAGATTATGGCCATTGCGTGCCATTTTGCAATAAAAGCACCCCTAAGGATTCACAGAATAAACCACAAACTGACTCCTGAAGGGATAATTGCTTAATGCTTCCAGGTTCAAAGATCTCCATGCTTGGAAGTGCTTGGGGACTGCTTAGCCTTTTTAGTGCACTTTGTATTGTATTTACCCAAGTACAGTATGTCCTAGAACAGGGGTGGGCAACAAGTTTTTTAAGCCATTACATTGATCTCATGAAACCAGTAATGAGCTGATTGAACTGGAGTATTAAGAGCTGAGCTGGTCCTGCAAGGAGTGGATTGGACACCTCCGTCCTAGAATATGAATAATGTTTAAATTTAATTTTTGTTCTTATTGACAACTCTAACAAACATTCATTTCATTTGGAGGCACTATTTTAAGAATGTAGTGGGAGAAACAGACCGTATTTATAGCAGGGCCTGCAATTTTCTTCTTAAAAAAAGAGTGGACCCAGACAATGAAATTGGCTGTGTATCGGAAGAGAGTATATGTTTTTTTAAGAACTAAATACTTGTTAAAAAATGCAGGGCAAGAAGCTGAGTTTTTTTATACCCAATTCCAGATTTCTGCCTATATACATAAATGTAACTGTTATAGCAGATCATTGAAACAAGATAAACATTTCAAACAAATGAACTGGAAGAAAACCACCAAGGTCTAAACTGATGCCGTTCTTGATGGTAGAAAAGCAGTGCTAATAGCTTATCTGGAACATTTCCTCTCATTCATAATGCATGAAACAGACTCCTTGTTGTCGCTCATTGTGAGCATTTGGGTCTGCTAGAGAAAAGGGACAGAACTGCAGAAGTAACTGATGGCAGACTACTGTGATTCAGGGACATGATTTTTATTTAGAGAATGATACATGAATTCAAAACACCATGTAAAAATTGTAAAAATATATTTTTTCCCCAAAGGTACTGTATGTAACACACCATAGTATAAGGGATTAGTAATTTTTAGTATCACGCTCTGTAAAAAGGAAAGCTTGTGTCAGGAAAACAGGTCTTTTCGTTAAAAGCTCAGTTAACTAACTCAGTTAGTTAACTAAAAGAATTAACTAACAATATTTGTACTCCAAAATGGAGGGGTGGGGGCAATTACCGTATGAAGAGGGGAAAATAGCACCTGCCCAGGTTGAAAAAAAAAAAAAGAACACTTAAGAGGCAATGATTATAGACTTCCTGGTTCTTTAGCCTAAGCTTTGTAAGTGGTGATTCTATCCTTCAGCAAAAGGGCTACAAAACAATCTCCAAGGTACTGCCTGGTGCTTTTGAAAAGATTCCTAAAAAGCACATGGAGATTAGGAGAAGGAATAGGATTCTACAAGTGTTAATTTTACCATTTTGCAGTCCTTGGAACAGGGCTGAAATAATAGCACATGAGGCCATTACACACTCATTTAAGGATATTCTACACAGCAGTCTTCCAGTAGGGAAGGCCAAATAATTGAAATTATTGAAATCAAGTGACAAGAGGTTAAATCACGGTGTTCAGGCCCTCTCTGCATGCACCCCAGCAGAAGCAAAATGTCAGTCGCTCAAAACTAATGACAGAAACCTTTCAAAAGTTTGAGGAATGATTAAGCCACATGCTGCTTATAAATGTATAAGTGTCACCTACAGAGCCTAAAGATCACCTTCTTTTTGGATCATCTTTCTTTTGCAGCTTTACCTGCTACAAATATCCCTCCAGGTACAAATTCTGGCACTGGTTGTCAATAGCCGTGGAATGGAAACAAAGACAGTGCATCTAATGAAGCACTGCTTTAAAAACGCTGATTTGAGCCAAAACTGAAGATGTATGAAGTGTCTTAGCATGTCCGTTTTTAACAAGTTAGTGACCTGTGGTACAAGACCAGTGCTGGGCAAAGTAACTTTAAAATGTAATCCACTACACTTGTAATGTATACAAGGGATTATATTAAATTAACAATTCACATAGACATACACTGATATTACAGATGACTTTTTACAATAATCCCCCCCCCATCTTATTCATTTTAAAAAGTAATCCCTTACCACAAGTAACTTTTACATGTAATGGATCAAATTATATTAAAAAAAATATTTTTCCCAAAACACTAGCCTGTAATGCAATAAATGACCATTCTGGGGTTAGAAAGTAATCAATTAAACAATGCTTCTGTTAAACACTGGGACACCAGGGATAAAGCATGGCATAAAGCAGGACTTCACACGTCTAGGGAATGCACTGGGTGAGTAGACCCAAGATCTGATGTCATCATTTAGAAAGACAACTTGTGGGAAAAAAGCCAGGGGTGTCCATTTATCTGTATTCAGACTCTTGCTTAAACTGCCTTATGGTCAATGTTACAAAATGTAACTGTGCTATTTTACCTGTAATGCCCGTATTGGGAATTCTGCTAATTTTGGTGTTTAATATAGTACAAAGTGCATCTAATGTTTAGACTTTGTTTTGTTATTTTAAAAAGCCTTGAGATGATCTCATAAAACGTGCTACAGTATGTCTAAGAAATAAGCACCATGTGGTACATGAAATGGGATGAGTTAGGGTCTTATTTTGTTGGAAAACATTGTACTCGTCAAACCACTCAAAAAGCACTACTGAAAAATACACAGAGAGCTCCTTCTTGATGGTTAAAGAAAACTATTAGCTCTCAACCAAACAAAAGCATTTTGATTTCATTTTCTGTTGAAGGATTAAATACAGAATCATATGCTGGACACCAGGATCGGAGAGCATCTTGAAACATTCCAAATTTTGACAGAACCCCAGTTTTGGCTTTCAGCTTCCACAATAATCCCAAGACCACACTGTGCTCCAGCACCTGTGAGCTTGCAAATTTCCCAGAACCTGCTTTGCTGACACAAAGGATTCCCTTTCAAGAGCACATTTTACAAAAAGCACACCCCAACTATGTATAAAATAAAATACTCAGCATTTCAAGATCCACTGAGGAGATCCAGGGCTAAAATATAAATAAACAGGACTTGGTAAAACGTATCTTTTACACCCTTTTTTTAAGTACAAACCTACAAAAGGAATTTATTAAAATAAAGAAGAGCTATGTAAATATTAACAGTAACAATGAAAACATTCAACTTTTCAAATCGCAGCTTCTTGTCTTATAATTATCTTGGTGGATTCAGGTCCAGTTCTAAAGCTTGGACCTTCCCCAAAATGTATCAAAACAGCCACCAAGGGACAAATCAAAAATACCACCAACCTTGAATCTGGGAGGAAGGGGGAGATGAACCACAGGTGTAAATAAGAGCTCAATTGTGCACAGTGACACATTCTGAGTAATATGATGTGATGAAGTCTGACTTGGAAGATTCAGGGAACCATTTAAACCATCACGACTTATATCGATGTACTTCAGCAATCCTTGCTTATTTTTACCACAAGAAGTGGAGCTTGTCACTTGTTTTTTTCATTTAACCGCACACACAACTGAAAATCTCATTTCAGTTTCTTCCTATCAGTTTGGGTTGCCAGCAGTCTCTCAACTCCTGCTGCCTAATCTGTCATCTCGTACTGCCCGTCCTTGTGAGTATCTGTACCAGTGGACTGAGGAGAAGAAAATGGGTTAGCCATTGGCATGGCCATGAGGAAGCAGATGCAGCTTCTCCTGAGATTTTCTTATGTCCGCAGAGGGATCCCATTGCTCCATGCTGTGTAACTATACAAGTCCTCCATTGTGGCCTATAAAGTGCTCCGTTCACAAAGCCACAAGAACCCTCACCTTTTAATGAAACAACAGCATTAGGACTCCTACAAAGAAGATTCAGGGAAATGGAAAGATTTTCTACCGGACAAACGGAGGGGTCAGCTTTTATTATTGCTTTTCTTAGAAAGTGACCAACTGTGAAACTGAAAGCTGACCTCGAATTGCACAGCGGATGACCCACAGGATGACTGAATTGGTAATGGGGATCCCAACTCCTTCTGTAGGTTCTTCTATATCCATTTTCTTTTTCAACTTCTTTTTTCTCATTTTACTCATTCACTTTGCTTTCCTTAAAATCTTCAACATTATTTCATTCAGTTCAGGAGAGAGCTGGTGGGAGTTAGCCTGGCCCTTGAGTCCAGGGTGAAGATCAGCAACAGTTTTCTCCCACTCAAACTGTCCATTAAAGAAGGAAAGGTTTCTAGACAGAATTGGAAAAGCTGGGACTGGTCCCCAGTTCTTCTTCATTTGAAGCTCTTTTACTGATGGTGCTTATAACAAGGACCAGCAGGTCTGATGCTTCATACTCCCTGTGTACTCTGAGTAAAAACACATCTCCTCTAATTCCTTAGAAGGAAAACATTCGCCCATTAATTTAGTACAAATGCTGACTGGACATGAAAGCTTTGTGAACTTGAACAGCTATGGGATTGGAGTTCCTTGTAGCTTCTGGCTTTGTAGTGATTCTGCACCCCATGAAATGTCAAAGTCTAGAATGTGTCTGAAAGACGTCGTTGTCATAGACACTGAGCACAGCCTGAAAAAGCCTTAAAGAGAATGACACACAGCACTCTTATCAGTTGTGACCCCCACTGAAAAAGCTGAGAGCAAAAAATAGCACCTAGAGGGACCACAGCCAGAGACTTACTAGGAGAGGATGAAAAATGCACAAACAAACTAGGGAATAACTTCTCTGAATTCTCTTCTTTGTCCTACAACCTGCCTGGCAGGGTGCGACTGCAGTGCCAGCGGCCTGGCTGAGGTAAGAACAAGGAGTCTGCTGACAGTCGCTCTCCCTGCGACTTTCACCCCAGAGGGTGTGGGATAGCACCCACTGCCTAGTAGGACACAATCGACAGGAGAGATCACAGCTGCAACAGCAGCTGGACGACCACTGATGGGGAAATTACAAGGCCAACAACAAACAAACATCACAAAAAGGAGAAAAACAGCCCATCTTTGCCACAGGAAAAAAAGGCAATTCCAATTAGAGTCCTTTAGAAATCACTTCCACATACATTAAAGAAAATCTTAAAGTACGACAGCTCTTGATGCTTCTCAAGCTTTCCACTGCCCTCCTTGGCCTGATTTTTTGGTTCGTTTCCATAGCAACGTCCATCGCGTGAAGAGGTTTGTCGCCAATGACCCTGCTTCCCAGACCAGAGATGACATTTTCCACATTGGCGACTGAGGGGACTTGATAACCTGCTCCACAACCATACTGAAGAGAGTTTCTCTCCCTATAAAATCCGCTTCACCAGGTCTAACTTGCCTGGCCTGGATGGTTTACATAAACAATGCACTTTTAGAAAGCTATTGTACTATTCCCTACAATTAGCACAAACAAATGTGCTTGAAAAGGGTGTGGCACTGACCCCCCTAGCAAGACCTCAGTGATGTCACACCACAGCTTCAGAGCATCAGAGCACCCCCGGCAGATAACACCAGCACTTTACAGTACTACACAAACCAGCTAACATACAATATTTATGAAGCTAAATAGAAAAATGTAGTACAATTCATTAAAAAAAAAAAGATAAATAATTTCAGCTATAACCATTGCAAATAGCTTGGTCCCCAGGAATGGCTTTAACTACAGTGTCTGGGGGAAGGAATTGTCTTATTGCTTTTGGATATCGCGTCATTTCTTCAGACGTCTGCCCGTTCTTTTGATTACATTTTTTTTGTAAGTTTAGGAAATTTGAAATCTGTTGAAACGCGAGCTGCTCGTATTATACTTGTATCTGACTGTTTCCAATATTCCCCTGAGAGAACCTGGTGATGACAAAAACACGTGCGGAGTTGCAAGACGGGCGTTCTCCTCAAGGGGGCGCTGCAGAATCAAGTCCAATGTCCCCGTGTCAAATGAAGGGAGTGAGGCTTGGTGGTGTGGGGGGGGCACACTGTGAGCCTTCTTTAAAATTCCCTCACAAGCATTTTTACATTTTCAGGCATCCTCACAGTTTTTGGACAAACAAAAGAAAGGAGAGAGAACTCTTCCCCCAGCCGTGCCGAAGTGGAGAAAGAAAGACGATCCAGGGAGCCAAGTAAGCAGAAAGGCCCACAAGAGTCTTAGGAGTGAAGTGAGTAGCTAAGAAGAGAAGATGGACCCCCCGCCCCTGGCAGGGCAATGCTCTTCCTCTGCAACAGCCGAGCTCTGGAATCGGCACTCCGTCAGCAGAGCTCAGATCTTCTCTGGCCACCGATCCTCTAGGACTGGGGTCTTGGAGACAAAAAGTCCTCCTGCCCCAGTGCTGGTGATCCTGTGGGTGTCTGTGAGGCTAAAGGCTACAATAAGCGCAGTGTGTGCTTGTTCGACACAGACCTGGGCTAGCCACGTCTGCTGTGGTCGCCGGTCCTCCGCCTGCCTATCTTCCCGCTGCTCGGATTCTCTCCTAGGGAATCTGGATCTGCAGGGCCTCCTCTTCCTCGTCCGGGTCGCTGGGCAGCTCGTCGGGCTCCTCGGGGCTGAAGAGGGAGCTCCTCATCTTTCCAAAGAGGCTGGGGTTCACCTGTCGCCGCAGCCTGGTGAAAACAACAACCGGGGCCAGCCGAGAGATGAGAAACACCAGGAAGCAGCAGAGGCTCGGAGGACAGCAGTCCGTCCGGAGCTAATCTCAGGACCACTCAGTTAGCTGCCAATTTCACAAAGCCACAAAACACAGCCTCTTACTGGGAGTCATCGTGCTTTAGTGGAGGTATCAGTATTACCTATTGATATTGCAATCTACTGTTCTGTGGCTAGACAGTTCAAATTCAAGTTTGGGAGCAGACTTTGATAAATGCATCTTATATTTACATTGTACACACATGCATATGATCACAGATTAAAATACACCTGGGACAGCAATGACAAAACAACAAAAAAGCATTTGAAAGCGCTTGATTCTTAGTACCAAATTTCCCATTCGTAGCCCTAAGTGTCATATGTCATAATTTACAAGTGAATAACCCTACCTGCAGAGAATGATTCCTCAAACAAGACTTTATGTGCAAATTATAACGACGTACACTTATCAGTCATCAAGGTAAATACGCGTTTATAAGAAGAATGAGATATCGCCTTGCTTCCCAAAGCTTTTCCCTTTTGTGCAGATTTTACAGTGCTGGCTGAAAGGTGATAAATTATACACACACAGTTTAGAACACAGCCCAGGGCAAGGCAATGGCATTTGGAGCATTTGCAAAGTTATTTATTTATAATCTGAGATATGCCGTCAGAATCCGGTTATTTCCTTTTCAGTCTTTCCTTGTTACATCCCTGCTTCTGTTCCATTTGTGTATTATTGGAGCAAAGGCACTGGAACACTGGATTCTATAGTTTTACATGTGTATCTTACAGATGGGTTGAAAAAACATCTATTCATTCACCTTTTTACTACTTGAATGATTTACAAAGTGATTTCTTCACCCAATCGTAGCAGCATTTTTTTTTAATTGTTAACTTTGAACGCAGAGCTTCCAAATAAAATCTGTGGCAGATTCTACGAATGACCGCAGCCTTATACCTAGTCCCAGACCTGCAAAGGCCTTGAGAAAAGCAATGCGGACTGTCAGGTTCGCGGTGTACTTTGAAGTCCTACAGTGCAGCGCGTCCGTTCACCGTCTTTATTTGATTAGGTCTGGTCTAATTTATTTAACAGAGAACATGATGCATCTTCTGCAGACACCTGAGAGCAAAGTGTGAAACGCGATCGAACCAGGCATCCAGCCTCAGCGCGCTTGCCAGTCAGGCCCTGCATAACCAGGAATGACTGATGCAAAGACCTAAAATGAAGAAATGAAATCCGGTCCTGGAAAGGAAAAAACAAATCTCAACCTCCCCCCCAAAAAACAGGACAGTGTGGACAGCTTTGTGAAAATCTGCAAGAATCGTAAGACAAGGATGACAATCCCCATTCCCTATTATTCTCTTCTTATTTATATTATATCTGTATATTTCTAAATGGAACATGGAGGAACAATGGGTGTACTACATGGTCAAAGAAATTTGAAAAGTCAAATTATCCAGGATGAAAACTCCAAATTGATGCAGTTCTCTTAGCTGAAAACAGACGCAGCACAGCCACTGCATTAAGGGGTTAACAAAAGGCTTATACTTTGGCCCTTTGTCATCAGAGAGCATTGAAAGCATTCATCTCCTGCAGCCAGAAACTGTATCCAACCCACAGACCCCCGGCACAGTAGCTATATGAAGATGATCATATCCTCCCTCAATGAGCACTGGGTAAGCTGACGAGAATTTGGAGCTTTTAATGGTGCTGAATTACATATAATGGTGTTTTGACCATAGTCACCCGCTCACTAAAAGCTTTTATATTGAGCCCAGACACTTAGCTAGGTCATATTAAGGTGAATGGCCATAAATCTTCTCCACAGGCAAGAAAAATTGCAAAAAGTTTGTCAGGAATTTATGTAGGAGCCAGGGCAATTTGGATATCATGTTGCTGTATAGAAAAAGAAGGAAAATGAAAAACCACAGCTCCCAAGCTTTGGAAAATGTTCACTCTTATTCAGCAAGGACAGGTGGAGAGACAACTGACCAATAGAAAATGCAGCTTCTATTTATTGACAATATCAGCTCTCTTGAAATCCAAGACTCTTCTGACAATTGCTCACTGCCCCAGCATCCTGTTTCAAATATGGATTTATTTTCAAATCGCTCTAACAAAAGAAATACAACTCAAACTCCCTTGTTGTTTCTCATTTCACAATATTTCTTAGAAACACAACACGGTCTCAGAGAGCTTTAGCTCAGATGCTCATTTGAACAGCACAAGCGCCGAGTATCTTCCAGCATTCTGTCCCTCTACGTCATCAAGTTTAACAGCTTTGACAAGTGGAGCTCTCACCTAAAATTCAACTAGAAAATCGGGTCACTGCTTTTCGTGATCGATTAAGACAACACTGGCTACATCAAAATGATCTCCATCTTGTTTGCTTAAAAGGGCATCCCCCCCAAAATAACTAAATACACCACCTCCTTTTGTTTAGCTTTATAATGCTAATCAGATGTTTTTAATTTGTTAAATAAGCAAATGGCACTGTAGTATAAAGAGCAACTTCATCCCTCTGTGACCTTCTGGTGAGTGAACTGGGTTTCAATTGAATTCTGGAGTTAAATCGATAAAGAACTAAACTTTACCCCTCTTTCTTACTTCACAGCTAAGCATGAGGGCATTTGGAAGCAGTTAACATTCTCCTGATCATGCGCCCACACACAAAATTTCCATCTTTAGAAGCCTGTGATTCATTGAACTGGCTTTATTTGCATGAGGCCATTCCAAAAAGAGCTGTATAACTGCCATGATTTTATGTCCCCAAGTTACATCCTGGATAAACACAAGCGTATATATTAAAGTTGCTAGTGAATAAGAAGTCTCTTCAAAGTCTACTGCTTTAGCCAAGGCTAGAATTTATTGAGGCAGTTCTATCTATAATATCCAGCAAAAAAGAGCCAAATGCTCTATTGTTTCCTCAGTGAGTTCGGCTGTATATTACTTGAGGTGAATATTTCTCAATAACTGACACACGGAGATCAATGAAGGCTTCAGGACAGTGGCCACAGCACCCCTATAAAACTGCTGCTTTAGACACTGGACACATGAAATGAGAAATACAATTTCCTATTTAATGTAATTCCCTATTTAAAGTGCTGCTGTTATTTGCTGTACACTTCTTTTTTTCTAGGAAAGAAAAACAAATCTAAAAAAGTTTCTGCATCAATATTAAAAGTATCCCTAGTCTGCATGGAAATAAGCAGGCTGGAGACTGTGAGCAGATCGATCCGGACCCTGATCAAAGAAGAGGGGCTGGAAGAGAACTAAGGTTGTGTTCTCAAACTGCCCTTGGCTCCTCCTCCTCATGCCTTCATATCCTTCCTCAGACTGATTCAGAAATGAGCTTGTAGGGTCATAAAATGATTTTCTCCCAAGTGTGAAAAAATATAAAGCCTCATTCAATAGTGCACTCTCCTGAAGGGAGTAAACGAGCCAAGACACACCCAGGTCTCGTCTCAGCACAGAGGCAGGACTGTCGAATCACAAGAGGACAGACTGCAAAGCCGACAACAACTCTCTGCCAGAAAACCAGCACAGAGCTTCAGGGTTAAGGCCAGAGCTCGTCCCCTGCCCTGGAAACAAACTTATTTACTGTACATGCTTTAGGTAGCCAAGGATTTGTTATTAAATTATCAATACTAAGAGCCCAGAATCTGGAGCTTCTAATTCCACAGGCAGATGAGTGAACAGCAGGTTTCACAAAGAAACAGTGGAAACTGAAGTTTAAGTGCATTTGGGGGTATTTTGTCATTTCATTTATCTTTTAAAGGACAGTTACAGTGGCAAGAGTTTGAAGTGAAAGAGACACATTGGCAATATGATATCTCTCAAACTGTCCATGTCTTTAACGCTAGGCAGTGTGAATGATAGTTATGGAAAAGCGTTTTTTGGCATCCACTCTCACTGAAGAAAACTGTCTTCCTTTCTGCGCTTTCCCTCAGCGTTGCTTGAAATACAAGATAAGGGAGCAGCAGGAGCAGAGGACACTGGAGATAAAGGTGGGAGTGCAGGCAGGGACTGACAGTGCAGATATACTGAGGCAGCCCGGGAGTTGGGCTCTTCAGCAAATCGCAGGAGCCAGAGGTGGTCGTCAGCCTTTCCCATCTGCAGACACATTTTTCCTTCAAGGTTATTTCCAGTTATACAGAAACACGGTTGTCTTTTCAGTATGTCTGGTTGCAAGACACACGAGTTAGCCCTTAGCATAAATGCCAATAACGCAAAACTTATTTTCATAATAGTCAAATTATACCATCAAAGTTCTATAGAGATAAATGCCTTGTGAATATTTTTAATGGGTTAATTAAGTCAACATCCAGATTAAGTGTTACAAATGCAGCTGGGGTTCATTTCTCTCCCTTATTCAGTTCTGTGCTCTCTAATGATCCTCTAAGCCATAGCCAGTTTGTGGACCAGTAATTTGCTTGTTCTTCATGTAAATGCTAGTGATTAATAGCATGAGTGCAGCACTTATAGATGAAGTTTTTCATTTTGAGAAGTGTCTGACTATTTTAAGAACTATGTGACAGAATGAGTATTCTAGCTGAATAATACAGCCTTCCGGAATGGCAGTGGCACATCTCTGCAGGCATTCTCCAAATTTCACTGCCGCCCATCTCCTTGTTTCATATGTGGGAGAACGAGGGGGAGGGGGTAGCCACTCAGTTATGGAATTGGCCATTGAGTTGCGTCTATAACCAGCCTTTTGCAAAATTATTAGCTGCACAGAAACTAACACCAGGACTGAAATTCCTAACAGCCATCTGCTGTAATCAACCCTGATGCAACCTAGCCATGTCAGTCAGTAAATAATTCAGTCCTCCTATCATTTCACAATGATCCTCACCAATGGGACGAGAGATAACCAAGAATCCCGTAGAAGCCTTAAACGCATGCTTCACCACAATTCCATATCTGCATACACTGTAGCCTGGAAAAAGGCTGAACAACAGCCAGCAACATCCCCAAAATGAAACAGATTAAGCCAATTCTGCTTAAACATCTGTCTCGTTTGGCTATAAAGAACAGAAAGATGACTACAGCTTTAACCGGTATTTTTTTCAATGAGCAATTATGATCTAAAACGAGGTCTTTTGAAATCTCGTCAATAAGAATAGCTCATTTTAGTTATTAAAAATCAGGAAGACATGGAAAAACAAAGACACAGGCTCAAAAGAAATGTGAGTTATACAACCCTGCTACAAAAGTCAAAGTCAAGAGACATTATTCTCGCTTTTTCCATTAACAATATGGATCATACTTTAAACAGTAATTGGAATTTCAAGGAAAGGGGCACTAGCAAACAGTTTCACAGAAAGCGCTGCAGAGTGCTGGATAACTCTGTTTTAGAATTCAATGTCACCTACAGTCAATTAATACAGCACAGCTGTATTGGGTTAAACTGTGTTGTGGATAAGACTGGGTGTAGTCTATTAATGGATTTCAATTTTAAAATCACTGCCTCGGTCATTCATCTCTGCCGTCGCCAAATAAAAGTGGGGAAGATGAGAACTGAAGCACTTAATTATAAAAACCTGAATCATAGCCTCTTGCTTTCTAAAGAATCCTAAGCATTGACACATGTGAGATTTCTCTTCAGGAGCTGTGCTTTTAGCACAGTGAAACATTCTTTAGAGCTTTAAGGTGGGACAACATCTCTCCGTTACTACGGTAACTAGCACTTCAGTGGCTAGCAAAAGGGAGGGCCCTCGTGATATTGGCTGATGGACGGCGATGGAATGGAGAGGGAATGATAATAAAGCTGGGTTCTGTTGAGAGAAGGTCAGGAGATGAGCTCAAGTCACGTCACATGGCAGGAACTGGAGCTGGGACTTCAGGTGACAGACTGTCATGAGCAGAGGTGGAGAGCAGTCAAGCAACTGACAAGCACAATGGCCACCATGTCTATTAAAGTCTGGGTTCAGATGAGCTCTGGGGACGCGTCACAATGCATTACAGCAACTGTAGTTTCTTTAGAAAGAAAGGCACAGTAAAATATTTCAGTGACTGGTGATTCTATTGTAAGAATAACCGCTTTAAAACTATGCAAACCTGTAATGGCAGAAAAACGCACAGCTTATACATCCATCACTGATGTAAAACATGTCGCCTGCAAGGAGCGTGCTGGTTTACCTGGATTGAAGGTGCTCCAGCTGGACCTGCAGGTTCTCAGTCTGTTCTACCTGCTCGTCCAAAGACCTCTGCAGCTTTCTGGTCTGATTATGAGCCTCGTCAAGCTGAAACGCACAAAAACATGATGGAGGGCACAGGGGCATCTTTCTACAAACACTCCCACTCTGTTTAGCAACCTCTACACCTTTATACACTGTACATTTACCACTGCTTGATAATGCTATACTGGCACCACAGAGATCTAGCTCTTTTATATATATATATGCAAAACTGAAATGCTATACTCAGAGGGATTTTAGCAAATATTTTAATAATTTATATTAATCAAAATTTGAAAATGTAAATTAATATACAGATCAAATAATCATGAGATGCTTTCATAATAAAATGTTATACACTGTGTACATGGAAAAATAATATAAAAATTGACTTCCGGAAAGCTGGTCCCTTACAGAGCCAGCTTCCTGCTTTTCCAGGTTTAGTCTGCTGACGGTTGAGGCAGAAAATCCCATTGTCTTGGCAACTTCTCTCATTAACAAGCTTCCTCGAGTTATATTGACAGCAACCCGGCCATCTTCAACACTCAAGTGGGGTGTGGTCTTATCTTTTACTGTTGTTGAATTACTTAAAATCACGTTTTTTTTTCTAAACAGGTGTTTTCATTGATTCTTATTCAACACATTCAAATTTTAATTAAATTCAGCTATCACACTTTGAACTTTTTAAAGAAAAGACATGCTTTGCGCTCACCAGCACAGGGAACAATCGATCAACAAACCCGCCTTCTCACTATTAAACATGTCAGGAAGTACATATCTGTGCCCAATGAGCCATGAGAGACACTTTGCCATGTAAAATTTCAGTACACTTTAGGGCTTTGGGCTTTAGTATCCTAAAACAATGGCAAACCTAATTTTAGAACCTATTCTCCATGGACCTCACTGGCACGTTGTCCAATACTCGACCATGGACCCGTAATGCAGGCTGGATGTGGCCCAGGTCCTGGCGGGCTCACCTCGTCCTCGGCCTGTGCCAGCTCCTTCTTCAGCTCCTCCACCCGCAGCCTCAGCTTCTTCACCTCGCCCTCGTGCTGCTCCACCCTCCGGTTGGCATGGGCCAGCTCCGCCATCTTCTCCTGGTACTGCTTCTTCAGCTTGGAGTGCACGTGGCGCATGTCGGCCAGCTCCTGCAGGGGGACGGTGAAAGGCAGCTGTTTAGTCGCCAACAGCAGGCTCCTTCGCTGTGCAGCTGCAGCACAAGACGCAGAGAGGAAGTAAGGGTTCTTCAGCGATATTAATTCCTCTCTGTCATGTGCACATTACTAGTTGATAACTACTACTGCCTGCTTAGGATCAGTGTTGGTCAAACTGTCTACATTGAGAGAAGAACTGTACATTAGTCATACAGGCACATGAGCGGTGCTGTTTTTTTTCACGCTTACTGCTCTTCCAAGCACTGTTTTTCTCGTGTTATGGAATGACAGGTTTAGAAAGTTTGCCTGCACTTGAGCATTTTGTGTGGGAGATGGTGCAGAAGTGTAGATTGTGACCGTATAAAAGCCCCCCCCCAAATCCTTGCCAATCCTTGTTTTGTAAAGCAGCCCAGAGAGAGGTGATGTACTGCACTAAAACGCCACTCTAGCAATCAGGCGCTTTGAAATCCTACTCTGAACAAATTTGACATTACCTGTTTATATACAGATGTTGGCAAACAAGTAGAAACTGCGTGGAAGTTCATTTAAAAGCAGGAATAGGAGGCACATCTTTACACAAAGGGGTGAGGGAACATGGAACAAGCTACCCAACCATATGATTGACTTTGGCCTCATTGAAGAAACAGCTGGATGAGATCTTTGGATCAAGTTACTATTACCTACCAAACAACCCAAATGGCTGAACGGCCTTCTCTTATTTCGAACCTTTCTTATGTTCTTATGTACAGTACATGTATATATGCATTTAAGGTTGAAAGCCAACAATCAACTCGGCGGACAACACCACAAGAGGTAAAACATGTTTGTCCAGTTTGTTCCATGAAGACAATTTTGAGATGACTGAAATGGAAGACACATCCTACTGAAACGCATCCTTTTGTTTCAGGATAAATTAAAGCTGAGAAGTGGATGCTTTACTTTACTGAAAATGGGATATACTCCTCTCAAAGCTTCCCCCTTCTGTACAGTTTTCACAGAAGAACGAAAGGCAATAGAAAACCACTTTATGATTCTGATGACATCTGCTGTCATGGCTGACAAAGATGTATGGAATTAGGTTCCCATCGGTCAACGTTTTGACTTCCGTCCGTTCGTAGTTAATCAAATAAAGAAAAGCCATCGAAAGACATGTCAGCTCTGCAAATTCCCCAAGTAGACAATGCCAGCAGGCAGACAACACGAGACTTCACATGCCTGCAGACTGAGCCCTGCTGCACATCACTTCTCATACACTGCTGATCAATCTGTACAGCCTCTGCACACTTGACACACCAAGCTCTGTACAGATTAATGATGATCTGTGTTAATCGCGTGGATTTAAAAAGGAAAAGAAAAATGAAGCAAATGGAGCTTTTAAGGTCTAGGGTAAAGGTAGAGAGGTTTAGGGAAATGAAAGTAAACGCCTTTAAACTTTCAAAAATGACAGGTTACCACATAGTAGAATCCTAGCACCTTTGATGTTAAAGAATTTGAGACAGGGTTAAGCCTTCCTGATCACCAGCAGGGAAATGATTATTTCCAGGACATAAAATTAAATACAGACGAGACAAGGAGATATACAGTAACTTTTCAACATGAGGATGAGTGTTGGTCTGGGCAAAACTGGCATTTTATACCATCACTCTTGACTAGGATTTCCATCCACCACTGGCCCAGTTTATTTTTAAGGGGACACTTCAAGCACTCCTGCAGAATTGGAACATGGTCCTTCAGATACGTCAGAACAGACAGAGGAGCCCACACACATCAACAGAGCTTACAGCAGCTGGGTATGTGTCACAGAGACTTCAATATACGTGTGCTCTGCTTCCAAGCCGCAGGTCGATGGTGACCAGCGGGTGCCTGCATAACACTCAGAGGATGGCAGAGTCTTAACTCTGCTTTGTATCAGAGTTAATAATTGATATGCCAGTTAACTTGCTCAGTCATTTAGGCAGGGACGGAGGCAGCATTATGCATTATAAATGAAACTGAGAACTGACCTCACACAATGTACGTCTCTGTCTGACTGAAGCTTGAGGCAGGCTCTGCTCCACTTCATATTGAAAACGTTTGCAAAACAAGGAGGTGGAGGGACGCAGAGTGAGACTGAAGGAGTCAGAAGGGGCTGACTCAGATGGTCACTGGCAAACCGGTGGTGTTGGGGGGGAGGAATGCAGAGGGAACTCAGGTCATGAATAATTAGTACATGACTCCAAGCTAAGCAGAGCGGATGGCTCACACCCAGCCCCAGACACATGCATTAATAAAGAGACACTCGCCCTGCCATCACGGGGGACAAGAGGCAGCGAGGGCCAGACAGAAAAATAAGAGAGAGAATGATTGGGTGTCTTTTCTCTCGTATCACTTACTAATGTGGAGAGAAAGGGCACATGACAGATTTATTTGAAGGCAAGTTCATCTTGCTGAAAAACGTGACAATTCATTCGGCTCTTAAGCCTGGCTGAAAGCTGAAGGGAAAGGAAAAATGTGCAGTATTATTAGTACCATTGCGTAGCTGTTGTTGGTCTTTCTTGTTTTTTTGGTCTAAACCTCAGTGTGATGTCAGATTTGTAGATCAAAACAGACGTTATTCTTACCTACAGAGAGAAAGTGTCAGGAGTCCTGCTTGCCACCTTTAAAAAGTGCCCTGCGTTGCCCTATTACAGCCGGAGAAACTCCAGAATTTCTGTTAGGTGCCTGGCAGCAGAATGATGGGGGGGGACCAGACCCCCAGAGAGAACTCCTGAAGGTCACAGCCAAACAGAGATGACCCCCCTCCCCTGACGTGCGCCCCTCACTTTCAGGATCTGACACAACAGCATCAAACGTGGTGGGGGCAGGGCTGGCGAAAAAGCACCGAGGTGAAGAACAGAAGAAGGAACAAAAGAAGAATAAAGCCCCTGTGGGAAAGGTCTCATACCAAGAGGGTAAGAAAGATAGTTGGATGAAAAAATAAAAAAAATATAGGAATGACAACATTAAAAAAAAACATAGCTGTTCTAAAGCATTGTGACATTTTCTGAGAGCAATTTTCCCCTCCAAACAGAAGTACAGATTAGGAGGCTGCAATGAGCTAAGGAAGAGAAAAATGGCATCAAAAAAAGAGCAAGAGGAAAACAAACACTATTCCAATCCAACGCGTCAAGCATTCAGTAATTGTGAATGTGACAAGAATAACAAATTGTGAAGTGGGAAGGGTTTAAACAGACTGAGAAAAAGAAACGACGACTCTCGAACCAGGAGTGGCAGGGGAACTTCACCAGCTGTAATCACTGGTGCCCAGGATGTGATCGGCACAGATGTCTCCTGAGACTGGTGCCAGACTCTGGGGCTGTACCTTGGCTCCCCTGGCACACTGCAAAGGAAATGTGGGTCACAGAGAACGTTGAAGAGGAAAAGACAGGATGGCAAACCGCCAGAGCAACCCAACAGCGACAGGCAGTGAGAGGCCTTCAGCCCACTGAAACACAACCCCTCACTTCTGTAGCACCACTGATGCGGGTCCTTTGGACTCACTGCAATCAAACACATTTTTAAAATGTTTTTTAAAGCTGTAAGTTTTTACTGTTCGAATCTTTTGCTAGTTGGTATATTTCAGATGCTGTGAACTCGAGCCTAGGTTATGTTACTAGCCTACTGTGACTGGCACCAAATTGGTTTGCCTTCACCGGGGACGACGTTGCAATTAGTCAGCCAGAGCTCTCCTGGTGCCCAGCAACACAATGACACCTGTGTTACCGTGACAATGTCCTCTGCATTTCCATGGGCGCCTGCGGCCTTATGATGATGACATCATTAAAGGCAGTAACTCTCCTCCAATCAATGCTAAACCTTTGCTGCAGTGCCTGATGGGTGAGCAGGTGGGCGGAGCCTGTTGGCACTTCCTCCTTCTTCCCACGTAGGCAAAGAGGACTGGGAGTGGGGATATAAGGACGTGATCGACAAATCTGTGCTGGGTGAGTACTGTATGTAAGAAATCAGTGGCAAAAATAAATTGAAAATAAAAGGTGCACTAATTAATCCTTCAGATATTTCTCTTTCCGAAACCTTTCAGGGTTCAGTCACATTACTATACACTCTGCACTGCAGCATGAAAAGTCTATCCTGAAAATTGAAAAAGTTTAAATTTTATCTAATGCGGATTTTAAAAGTTTGATTGCTTATATAGTGTCCTAATAAATACAAATGATTTATTTCAGGAACTGCCTTCTATGGAACACTGAAGGGTATTTAAGCCTGGATTTTAGCCAAGGAACAAGTCAAACAAGAACTTTTAAAATAAACTGAACACCACAAATTTACAAGCTGTCAAAATCTTTTACCATACATTAATTGGTTTCTGCTGCCTGTTTATTAGCGAGACTACAAAAAAAGAACAACCTTTTTGTGATTTCAATTCTGTCTTTTGACAGCTTGTACCTGTCCTGTGCTTATGTACCTATAAGCGGAAAGAAGCTTGCAGCCAACTGACTTGAAAACCTGGCACGATTTGAAAGTTGGCGAAAAGCACGATCTTCAAATATCATCTTGTTTGACGCCCATTTACTAATCGTTGGGTATTTTAGTCTTCACCACTGGAGCTGTCGGTTGAAATGAAGGACAAAACAGTAATGACCCCAGGCAACACCCAAGAGTACACTGCACTGATGAGTCCCCAATTGATTTATTGATGGGTCTAACGGACCCTCATTTCGAGCATCCTTAATTTCCAGTAAGGGTTACAATGGTCTCTAGTTAACCATGTTTAGACTGCATGTTTATTTACTGATACCAGTAATCACATTTCACAATTTCATTTTTTATTCTAAAACAATAAGTACACACACGCATATATAACACACACAGTATAAATGATGCATCGCTGCAGCATGAGAAATGACCTGCCTTTCCAGTCACGCTAGATTGGCTGTTAAATGTTTCTCCTTGACTGGGTCTCAGACCCACACCACGGTCGGTGAATATATTACACTGCGCAGAAACAAAGAGAGGGA